AGAATATAGTAATTATATTTGCTAACTTAGTCAGTAATTTAGGGTCCAATATTCATAATTTACGGTAATTCTATGTCGTTAGTAATTGAAGGCCTTAACTTTTTAAGCCAAAAATTGTCTTGAATTTTCCAATTGGAAGCTTGCAGGTCCTAACAATTGTTTCCACTTATACTATGTTACTATTTGCTGTAATCATCTTCCTGGCAACATCTCGCAGTATATGACAATATTAGAAGATAAAAAGGTCTTAGAATGCGAGACGAATATAGAGGCTGAAAATAAACAATGGCTCAATTTCAAAAACTTTTGACGAAACAGTAATACAGGCACATGCAGATAATTCTTTTTCATGGTTAAATGTATTTTATGAAACAAATGAAAAAAAAACACTTTATTATTAGAAACAAAATGTGCATGGTTACATCTTCTCAATTCTAAAACCCTTCATCTTCGATTAATACTTTGAAAAATTAAAATTTAAGTTTAACTGATTTTCTGTGAACATTACGACCAACATTCTTCAACCACTTTGTGGACTGGCATAATTCTTTTCGCACTTCCTTGCTTATGTGATGTCTCTCCTCGTACAACGCTACTGAACGGCATATCTGTACGCACATGGTCGCTATAACGGTCCGTTAATGAAATTGTTTGAACACGATCCACGCAGTATATAGATGAAACAAAAGCCTTTCATATCCATATCCGCTTCCTTTCCTTAAATACACTTGGCCAGTTATGATCACGATTTGTACATAATTTCGAGGCACCAGTAAAAGTGATTTATTTAAACCACAAGATCAATAACCACTTGCTTGGTGTGCATGATTATAAATAAGGAAACAACAAATACACATATGGGTATAATTATATCGTTTAGTCGACTGAAGCACTGTCACAATACCCAACCCTTCATCTGTCCAATACTTTAACACTGGTAACATATTTCAATTTTATTGCTTTCCTTTTCTAGTTCAGTGAGTAGCATGATCTCGGTATACCATATGATGAGTTGAAAGTGTATTCCTTTTCTCAATGTAAAATAATTGCTCTTGCAGTCTTGCCGATTTCTAACTTTCGTATGTGAAGCAATTATTGTTTCAATATTGTTTCAATTATTGTTTCAGTTGCCCGATTTTTGTTACGCCGATGAAATAACTGTGAAGACGTTTGTCAACAATTGTCAAAACAAATGTCATTAGTGTTCTACTGGGTCGTAGAAGGTAGATCGGTTTGATTGATGTTATCTTTCTTTTTTTTAAACAGAAGGCAAAATATTGAACTATTTCATATGTTTTTAACGATGTTTTCGGCGTTGCAAGTTCAAAGTCCTTATCACTGAACAACGCTTTGAAGATCCTCACATATTTTACATCCTTCTTCATTGCGGACACACATCAATACAATGCGCGTGATGTCGGTCCACTAGGTTTTAGAATGTTGGCTAAAGTTTATGTTATTTCTTATCTATAAATAAGTATCAAGTTATATCTGAAAGCGTTTGATGCTTACAACGTTGTAAGAAAAATTGAAACTCTCCTCTTTCTTTATGAAAGTTTAAGCATACTTTGAGAACCTCATTTATTAATGGTAGGTAGGTACATTTAGTATAAATATAACTCTGATTCGAATAACAGAAAATTACAGAACAAAAATCAATTAATCAATAATTTTGACTTTTTTACTAAACTAAGTTTGCTTAAAATTTCTTAACATTAGAAGCTGCCGCATATAAATTAAATATTTCTCTTATCTTAAAGAAAAAATCTGGAATTCCGCAAACTTATAATATTGAAGGTCAACTTTTCCACATATAATTTGCTACAGGCACTTTATTTTCTAGATGCCCATACAAGCACCAAAATATATCTCGGAAACGCTGAGCAGGACGGTGTTAGCCTGCATTTGTTTTTCTAAGTAATTTTTTTTTTTGCTATGTTGCGCATGCCTGAAACAAGTGTACATTTATTTCTGGGAGCAAGTTCAAATGCTTGCACAAAAAGTTTAATCTGCAAAGTCAAATAAAGTGCTGCTTTTATCAGTGAAAATTTCATACAGGCAGCCACCCCCCTTTTTTCAAAAATATAACTATTGGATGTGAACCGATGACGAGTGGAGAAAAATAATAGAATATCTGCTTGCTATAGCGTATTGTTTTAACACTGAAATGATATCCTACATATAATTTTACTTGCATATTGGAAATTAAAGAGAAGTAAGCAGGTTAATGTTCTAATCCTGACTGGCCCGATACCTCAATAACGAAGGGATGAAACCCTGGTTCATGCAATTTGAAAGAAAATGCTATTCCCCTTCTTGGGACCAGCGTATGCAAATAATGGGAATAGGGAATAAGTATGCAAATAATGGGGATAGGGAATTCTTAAATCACATTTGAATTGAAATTGATATATACTTACGGCTTGGCGATAACTGCAAAACTGCATACCAATCGTACTTCGTCCAATGCACTATCACACTTTGAAGAGAGGAAATGTCTACTTATATTGATTTAAAAAACTGAATATTTCAAATCCGATACTGGCTACACAAAGCTATATAATTATTATACTTACAAACCTTAGGGTAATACAACAAAACCAGAGAACATGTCACGTGATTTATCTCTGATATTTTCGATGTCATGTTTCTGAAAAACCACGTCCTCCCCGTAGATGGTAAATGGGGCCCAGATTTTGTAAGACCGGTATGCCTGGATTTGGTGTTTTTGGAAGAGATTCTTTGTCTTTCTTAGTGCTTCACAAACCGATGTTCCCTGGCACAACTCACCATAAAATACTTCCATAAACTCTTTCGTGGCATCATCACTAATGGGCCATAGTGTGGCGAGAACAGTGCGAGCCCCGGCTGCAATAAATGCCCGAGCAATACCTATGACACCTTCGGAAGAAATCTCACCTTGCCCGGTATGGCAACAGCATAAAACTACCAAGCTAGCTAGCAAAGAAGTATTTACAATATCCTTCTGTGAGAGAAGGTAGTCGTCTGGATAAGGAAGAGTCGAAAATGGCCGAGTCGAAGAAACGTTAGGGGAAAGCATTATTTCACCTCGAAGTTGTTCACCGTGAGCAGCGATATGGATTATGCTAGCCCCAGATAAAAGATCCAGTACAACCTGTTTTCTAGCTTCACGCCCCACTAAGGGTCTAGCATTGAAGAGCTTTGAAAGACATTCAACTTCTCTAGCAGCATTTGGTAGGGCAGGGGGTGAAAATTCTTTTCCATTTAAGGAAACCGTTCCAACGGTTGGATTACCAACAAACAACGCAAAACCAAGGCCCAGATCTTGAGAGCGTTCAATGCTAAACCTTAGAGTGTGTAATGATGGCGTAACTTGAATGCTGTAATTGTGGGATAAGTGACAACCATTTTCATCAATCAATGACGAAAATGGGACAAAAAACAATTGCTTGTCAGCAACAACTATAAGTTTATTGCCTTTAATCACATCGCTTACAGGGTCAATAAGTAGTTTAAACAATGTTTTCAAAATACCGTCTTGGTTTAAATCATCATGCCCAACAGAAGGTTTCTGATAAAGATTTTTGGACGGAGATTTTTCTTTAAAAACGTCCAAAGGAAGAATCGATTTTTCATCAATACTGGGCACTGAATTAAGTTCGAAAAACGAGGAATCCCGATTAACATTCACATTCACCATTCTGAACAATTCACTTATCAGTTGCACAAATTTTTCCAATCGTGCCTCTGATTTTGACACTCTATATCTAAAGATTACTTCTTTATTCAACACCCAAACATTTAGAAAACCTGGCCAATCAAAAGCGAATACTATAATGGAACTATCGTTGCTGCTTACCTGGAGGATGCTTTGTAAATCTTCGATTTCTACCTGTTCTTCACCATTCTTGATTCTATTCCATCCCGAACTTGCATAATCGAACATTTTTGTATTCAAAGATTTATTTTTTCTTTCAATGGAGCAATGAAGTTCTTTAGCCCTTCCAAGGTCAATGACTAATAATGCAGATTCAATGCGACCCACAGAAATAAAACAAATCATGATCTTTACATGGGTGGTAAAGTATTGTTTAGTGAATGACAACTTATTTTGGTCTGGTACTGAGTTTAAAAACATTTTGTCAAGGATGCTGATAGATTCCATGAAACATGATATTGCACCTTTATATTGTCCTAATAATACAAGTACAAATCCCAAATTGCTTTTACTAATTGCTAAGAGTGACGGATCATTAATATCAATGCTTATTTCTAAAGCTTTCTTGTAATAGTCAATGGCTTTCTCATATTCTCCTAATCCAAGGTAGGCACTGCCCAAATTTAATTTCTGAGTGGCTATTGCAGATTTATCGCCCATACCAGTACTAATTTCTAATCCCTTTCTGAAACAGTCAATAGCTTTCTCGTATTCTTCAAAGCTGTGGTAAGCACTGCCCAAATGACAATAGCTCTTTGCTATTGCGGACTTATTGCCAATGGCAGTACTCATTTCTAAACTTTTTTTGGAATAATGAATAGATTTTTCATATTGTCCTAAACATCTAAAAACAACGCTCATATAACAATTGACCTATGCTATTTGATACTTATCGCCAATAGCGGTACTAATTTCTAAACACTTTTTTTGACAATCAATAGATTTTTCATACTCTCCCAAGAATATATGAGCAATGCCCAACCGCATTCGCATCTGCTATCCCTGATTTATCGCCAATAATAGTACTTATTTCCAAACCTTTTTCGAGGTAATCAATAGCTTTGGCGAATTCTCTCAAATAACGGTAGGCGATGCCCAATTGACATTGCTTGTTGCTATGCCTGACTTATCCCCTATAGCAGTACTCATTTCTAAACCTTTTTTGTAATAAAAATAGCTTTCTCATACTCTCCAAAACTAACGCAAATATCACCCAAATTGCCATTCCAAGATGCTATTCCTTCCTTATCACAAATATAGCGACTTAATTCCAAGCATTTTTCGCAATAATCAATGGTTTTCACATCGTCTCGTAATCCAAGGTAGGCATTTGCCAAGTCTTTACAAGTTTTGCTATTCCTAGCTTATCACCAATAACAGTTCTCATTTCTAAACTAGTTTTCAAAGAGTCGATGGCTTTTTCAAAATCTCCAATTTTTAGGTAGGCAATGCCTAAATTGCTATTGTTAGAGGCAACTGCAGACGTCTGGCCAATATCAGCACTCATCTCTACACTTTTTTTGAAATAGTCAATAGCTTTCTCGTATTCTCCTAATATAAGGTAGGCATCACCCAAATTTTCATTGTTATTTGCTATTCCTGACTTATTATCAACAGCAGTACTCATTTCTAAACCCTTTTTGCAATAGTCAATAGCTTTCTCATACTCTCCTAAATTGAGATAGGCTTTACCTAACACTCCACTGTTTCTTGCTATTTCTAAATTATCACCAATAGCAGTACTCGTTTCTAAACCTTTTTTGCCATAGTCAATAGCCTTGGCATATTCTCCCAAACTATGGTAGGTTATGCCTAAATTGGCATTGTTATTTGCTGCTACTGACTTATCGCCAATAACAGTACTTATTTCTAAACCTTTTTTGAAATAGTCAATGGCTTTTTCATATTCTCCTAAACTATGGTAGGTCATGCCTAAATAGGTATTGTTAGTTGCTATTCCTGATTTATAACCAATAGCTGTACTCATTTCCAAACCTGTTTTGATATAGTCAATGGACTTCTCATACTCGCCTAAATTACGGTAGGCACTGCCCAAATTCCCATTGTTAGTCGCTATTCCCGACTTGTCGCCTATAGCAGTACTCATTTCTAAACCTTTTATACAATATTCAATGGCTTCCTCATATTTTCCTAAATAGATGTAGGCATTACCCAAATTGCCATTGTTAGCAGCAATTCCTGCACTGCATGAAAAGCGCCGTATTCCAAGGTATTCACATGTGAATACGGGTGTGAATAAAACACATATTGCAAGCGTATTCCGACATGGAATATTAGTGTGAATACGGCATCGTATTCTTCAGTATTCTAAGTGTGGAATACGCCGTGAATATGCCGCGTATTCTGACCAATATTCACACTTGGAATATCTCACTTCTCACTTAATCCGTGTTTCCACAAAATAAATTCATCAGCTGACATTTTTAAACTTTATTTTGAATGCTGAAAAATTGAAGTGGAATTTTATAAATAATTTGGCGCAAAAACCAAAAAGCGCGCTTTCGAGTTTAATAAACATTGAACGAGGAGATCGTGCGTTTGTGGCTGTAAGAAATCTTTTTGGCGCTTATAAATAAGGGAAGAGAGTGAAGGATGCCAAGGGCTTGGTAAAGTCTGGAAACTCTGGTCGCAGTTAAAGAGCATGCCGGCGAGTATTTGTATGCTACGATTCCCACGAAGTCTGATGAAGAAAATGCGCGAAATAGAAATGAGATTGCATGACGCGATTTCCACAGCACCTTATGTTCGTAATACGTGTAAAATGATAACGAATATTAACCGTATTTCAAGGATTTTTTATTGTTCAAAACCGAAAACGCATATACTGTTTGTGCGTAAGGGACCTCTTCGGTGAGTGACTAAATATCGTGCAGTTGAATTCAATAGCCGGCCTATAGACTATACCCTATGACCATGTTGGGAGTAATCTCAACATTTTATTAACAAATTAACTGGTGATAAGAGGTTAATGGGTTATGCGTTCGCAGCCTGTGCGAATGTTTAGGCATTTATTGTCCCTCAAGTCTGTCCATTAAGGAAAATATCAATATGAACAAACATGCATAATCTTTAGGTTGCCATGTTAATTTGCATAGCAGTCATACACATTGCAATGGTAGGTTTATCCACAGTTAATGTGTTTTATCAAGGTTGATCAAATGCAATACTAAGATTTCAGTCAATTATTTAAATTTTATACAGTCCTTAACAGATCATGTACATGTGATGGGTTACAACATTTCACATTTTATAAAATATTATTGGAACATCACAAATTGTTCAAAAATATGTAGCAAAAACACAGCCTATCATGAACTTCTACTAAGCTGTTATGATTTTCAATCTTTGTTAATTTATAAGCAATGTTGTTTTAGTATATATGAAACATTGCTCCTGGAGTATGTCAGAAATGATACTTAATAGTAAATTGTTGAGCAAAGCAAGTGATGTTTTTTCACTTGGTAAGATATTAAAAACTATAGGTGAGCAGATAATGAATCAGGAACTTCTTTCACTGGGTGAAAAATCCTCTTCATCTTTAGCAAAGTTAAGGCCAACTCTTTTAGGAATTTTCTCAATATTGCAACCCCTGATGGCTAAAAACAATTAAAACCACCTTAAAGCAATTATTGAACAAAATACATAGCAAACTTTCTTAAGCTATAATAGATTATTATCCGAAAGGTTAATGATAATGGTAAAAGCTGATGTTGCATGCCATTTGTTTTTATTGTTGTGCATAGAATTTATGCAGTGTAATGAAATTATAATATTCCTAGGAGAATGTATATGTACAATGTACAATGTACACACCATTCATATAATTTGGAAGCTACCGGTAATCAATTAGGGTAAAAATGGAAACAAATTCTTCCATGAACTTAAAGCTGTATATACACATAGCTACTCCTAGTATGCAAACATCGAGAAGCTGTAGTAAACTCATCTACACTTTAATGGTATATTCTTTAAGTATTGTGATTATAATTTATGTACGGAAAAGTAATTGCAAACAAATCAGTAAACAGTCTCAGTTATAAATTATGATGAGGGCAATGTTAAAAGGCTTCACTTAAAAACACAGTCTAGCATGAACTTCTAAGCTGTTAAGATTTCTGTCTTTGGGCAGCTGGTTGTTAAGATTCCTATCTTTTGGCAACCAGTTCAATAGCTACTGTGGTAAATATTAGTGTAAATATAATTCATATATGCTAAAAGGAAAAATATAGGCCATTATTTTGTTAAAAAATATGTATTATATATAACTAAAAAACACAGTCTGGCTTTGATTTCTAAGCTGTTAAGACTTCTGTCTTTGGGCAGCTGATTGTTAAGATTTCAATCTTTTGGCAATCAATCATTAGCTATTCTGTGACAATTATATAACAATATATATCTATAATATATAAATTTTGCCTAAAATATAAAAAACCCTCATGAAATGCACCAATGCACCTCATTTCAATGCATCTTGAAACGTCTATCTAAGGGTTATGTTATGTTAAAGTTATGATTACAGCAGCTTTCTGAATATTTGTGGTAGGTAAGAAAGTAATGTCCCTTTTCAGTATTGGCAAACTTTTAAATTTTGTTTGTATTGAGTATGGCTTTGAAATGGCAAACATTTGTACCTACTATAATTAGTGTGTGATGGAGGTAGGATTGATGAAAACCATCATACAATTTATTTATTTACAAGCAGGTACAGTTAGCTGTGTACAAATTAGCTACAATAAACACAATCGTAATCTATTTATATTAATAAAAACAAAAAAAGTGATGAGCCCAGCCGTAAAAGCGTTGGCCTCGCACTATTGTTGTTGTGTTGTGTTGTTTCAGGACTATAGTATGACATAACTCTTGTTATTATTAAATAACTTACCTGATTTTAGCGCCGCCACAAGAATTATTTTGGGGCATCGCGAACATCTTTAACAATTCAAAGTTGAACAGCTTGAACTTCTGTTGAAACCACGCATTTATATATAAGCGCCCTGGTTGAAACCAATTGACATTTGTGCCATGTTATCGTTTTGTAAACAAAGGGAACTGGACAACTTTTGCGAGGAATCATTTAAAGACATTTATTTGTTATTGTTATACGACCTCCGAATTTCGCCATTTATTCGCAATTTCGCCGCAATTCCTTGGCGCAAAAATTGTCACTAACATGTCGAAGAGGAAATTTCCCAAAGGAAATTTCCTACGATTTCCCAACACTGAACTGTATATATTACGGATGCTTTTGACGATACAGAATCATCAACTTTCTACCCATGTGTTTACGTATCCAAGCAAAAATAAAAGTATTTTTTTATATATAACTTCTTTTACACAGTAATTAAAGAAATTGATGGATATTTCTCTTTTTATACAGCTTTTTTACGACTTACGAGGCTACTCAGCGCTCATCGACTGAGGATATACGATACTCGACATCCCTGCGGCAGCAAAAAAATTAATCAAATAAAAATCATCGTGCGTTTGGTAACATTTATTGTCTTTATTGTCTTTCGCCTAAACAAATCAAGTGCAATTTCAATTTCTGACCGTGATGACTGATGAGAAGAAATGCTGGATAACAGCTAGTTGACACCGGCATTGAACTGAAACAACCTTTGCCTATTCCGTGGTATATAAACGCATTTCCTGCAATATTTACACAATATAACTCGTTGATTATCCCGTATTCATGCGTACAATCACATTTTCTATGCCGAAGTGTGAATACTAGGTCTTGAAAAATATTCACAGAGTATTCGAAGGTATTCTAGGTCAGAATACGCGGTGTGTTTTATTCACAGGTATTCACATCGGAATACCCCCAATATTCCGAGGATATTCACAGTGAATATCTGTGAATACGTGTGAATATGGACCATATTCGAACTCATATTCGCACGTATTCACCTGTGAATACGCGGTTTTTCATGCAGTGTGACTTATCGCCATTGGCAGTACTCATTTCTAAACCTTTTCTATAATAGCTAATGGCTTTCTCATATTTTCCTAATTTAAGGTAAGCATTGCCTAAATTGCCATAATTAGTTTCTATTCCTGATTTATGGCCGATAGCAGTTTGCATCTCTAAACTCTTCTTAAAAAAGTCAATGGCTTTTTCATATTTTCCTAACAGAAGATAAACATTGCCCCAATAGTTGCTATACATGATTTATCGCCAATAGCGGTACTAATTTCTAAACCTTTGTCAAAGTAGGCTATAGCCTCCTCATATTCTCCCAAACCAAAGTAGGCATTACCCAAATTGCAATTTTTACTTGCTATACCTAGCTTATCACCAATAGCAGTACTCAATTCTAAACCTTTTTTTGAATAGCCAACGGATTTTACGTATTCTCTTAATTCATTATAAACATAGCCCAAATAGCCATTGTTATCAGCCATTCCTGACTTATCACCAATAGCTGTACTCATCTCCAAACCTATTTTGAAATAGTCAATGGACTTCTCATATTCGCCTAAAGTAAGGTAGGCATTGCCCAAATTGCTATTGTTGGTCGCTATTCCTGACTTGTAGCCTATAGCAGTACTAATTTCTAAACCTTTTACATAACATTCAATGGCTTCCTCATATTTTCCTAAATAGAGGTAGGCATTACCCAAATGGCGATTGTTAATTGCCATTCCTAACTTGTTGCCATTAGCAGTACTCATTCCCAAACTTTTCTGTAATAGCTAATGGCTTTCTCATATTCTCCCAATCTAAAGTAAGCATTGCCCAAATGGCCATAGTTAGTTTCTATTCCTGATTTATGGCCGATAGCAGTTTGGATTTCTAAACTATTTTTAAAATAGTCAATAGCTTTCTCATAATCTCCTAATCTAAGGTAAGCATAGCCTAAATCGCCATAGTTAGTTTCTATTCCTGATTTATGGCCGATAACAGTTCGCATTTCTAAACTCTTTTTAAAATAGTCAATTGCTTTCTCATATTCTCCGAACATAAGGTAAACATTGCCCACATCGCCATTTACAGTTGCTATACATGATTTATCGTTAATAGCAGTACTAATTTCTAAACCTTTGTTAAAATAGCCAATAGCCTTCTCATATTCTCTCAAACGAAGGTAGGCATTTCCCAAATTGCAATTTTACTTGCTATACCTGGCTTATCACCAATAGCAGTACTCAATTCTAAACCTTGTCTTAAATAGCTAACGGATTTAACGTATTCTCCTAATCTAAAATAAACACTGCCTAAATTGCCATTGTTATCGGCCATTCCTGACTTATCGCCAATGGCAATATTCATTTCTAAACCATTTTTTAAATAGTCAATAGCTTTTTTATATTCTCCTAAACTAAGGTAAACACTACCCAATTTGCCATTAATATTTGCCATTCCTGACTTGTCGCCAATAGCAGCACTGATTTCCAAACCTTTTTTGAAATAGTCAATAGCTTTGTCATGCTCTCCTAAACTATGATAGGCAGTGCCTAAATTGCCATTGTTAGTTGCCACTCCTGAGTGATTGTCAAATTGAATGAAAATTTCTAAGCTTGTTGCAAAATACTCGATAGCCTCTTCAGGCTGTCCTAGGTTTAAACAGGCAGAACCCAGTTTCTCACAGGCAGTTGCTAACCCTTGAAAATTGCCAATTTCAGTACAAATTTCCTGATATTTAATGTAATAGGTAATAGCCTTTTTATACTCTGCTAATCTAAAATGGGTTTCACCTAAGTTGAGATTGATGTTTGCTCTTTCTAAGGGATCATTGTTTGCAGTGACAGATTTTGAAGACTTCGAATCCATTTCGTCACCTTTTCAAGTGTCTCTATCTTTACTTCACTCCTTAAACAAAATTTTGTAAAAACTAATTAGAAGAGGTTAATTTATGTATATACCGCGCATGGAAGAGTATTTCCTTTGTTGACACTATCGAATTTTGAGGTGTTATTGTTATATCGACACTTGTAACAGTATTAATCGGACTGGTAATAGTGATATTGAAGATACACCCTAGGGCTGTTTTTAGGACAAACCTTTGTTTACGTCCCAAAAACAGTTCCTTAACTCTTTTAAGTAAACAATAATATAAGTTACTGCATTAGTATACATTCATTTCTAAGAGAGAGCCTTTGTTTACGTCCCAAAAATAGGACTTAACTGGTGTTGAGTCCCTCAACCTTGCGAATGGTTGAGGGAAAAAGCGAATGGTTTTCGCCTTTTCGCGCATTTTCCTAATCTAAAAGATAAGCAATTCCTAGCAATTGTTGCCTGCTTGTGCGTTTACAATTAGTTGAGCCGAACCATTATTATCGGCACGTTTATTTGAAAAGAAAAGCAACTGAAGGCACGGACCTTAAAACCGCTATACCACTGAGATATTAGAAAATGAAAATGTGTTCACTAAACGGGATTGGCACGCAATGAACACTGACTGACCAATAGTAATAATGTGCCGCACTTGTGAACGGCAGAAGTGTAATAAACCATAAGCTCTTCTTCGGACTTCTGCGATATTTGATAGTACCTGGGAAATCCACGCCGATTACTGTGAAAGATATTATTATCATCTTAGGTCTATTCATGTGCAAAAATTCAGCAGGCGGGCTTGGAATGGTTATACAACAGGAAATCTTTTACATCCATAACGTTTCTTTAGGGATCGCTTTGCCAACATACGAAAGCAAAGATTGCCGAGAAATCCAAAATTCTTCACGAACTTTCGCGTTCACAAACTTTCCACTCTTGGGCTCTGCGGACCGAAAATAGCTCTGGAATCTTGATCTATAATCTCCTGTAATGTTAATACTCTCTGGATCTTGTTGGAAGGATTTCGAGGATTGTGCTTGGATCTCAAAGCTGAATCATCAATCTTCCTTGTTTTACTCAAGCTGAACTCTTCGATCGAGAATCATCCAGGCCATTATTCCCCTTTTTCTCAGCATCAATTCTTGCTTTTGTACTTGTCACGATCTGAGGTGGCCATTCACCTGGATCAGCCAACTAGACTGGACATTTTCACCACACAACGCTGCTGACGTGAGACTGACGCCACGACTACCCATGTCTGCAGGGTTGTCAGATGTAGGAACATAAACTGATGGCTTTGTAACACTTTCGGATGCCTTATAATTTTGTTGACACGGTTTGCAATGAATTGTCGGTATTCGCTACAGTCGTTAAACCAATGGACGGCTACTGTGCTTTCTAAAATACATGAAAATGTCACGTTTTAAAGTTTATCGATATCAGGGAAGTTTTCATTATCCTCAGCATTTTTCCAAGGAAGGCCAGGAAGTTCGTCCTTTCCAAGGTTGACCAAGCTGCTCATCTTGATTTTCAAATGAATGTTAACGGTCATTAGGATTTGTTTCCAGCTCCTCTTCTTCGTTCGGATTCGATTTGTGAATGAAGAACAAACTGAGAATCGTTTAAGGACATCGATATGAACGGCATCTCCTCGGATTCGCAGTTACGAATTTTGAGAAATGTGTGGTGCCAATCCTCCAAACGGGCAACTGGATGCAGGCGATTTCTCACCAACACACTCCAAAACTTATTCTGCAAGTAGTGGCCCTGCATTCAACAAAGATGCATTATTGGAGAAACGTCCAGACGCGCGTGGATTCGGTTTATACTCCTTATTTGACCAGCTTTTTCATAACACTGGGCAATCCGCATTCGTTTAAAAAAGCTGTCTTTTTAGTGATCTTTGCGCTAACAAGCAACCTTTTTACTTTGGAGGCATTGTACTTAATACAGTATTAATCTTATACACGCAAATATTAAACCACTGTGAAGGTAGCCTATAGGAATTCGAAAATTTTATAATTTGTATAAAGTAATTAGCAAGCTTTTAAAATTTAAGTCCGAATAAAATTACACAATTTTAACATTATTATGACTCCCGTAAAATTCGCATGTCAGCTCATAACTCAAATCAAGTTGAGTTCAATCCAATTATATAACAGCTCAATACATATAAATACTACATTCGAATGTTCTCACTCACATGCCATATATATTTATGTTCGTTTTTTAGTCGCATCTCGCAAATCCGGAATGCTGATTACTTGAGGAGAAACACTTATAATGTGCATAAATAACGAAAACTTCCTTTAGGATTTATGTTAGGATTGATCGAATTTTCTATTAAACAGGCAGAAGTAACATATTAAACAGGCAACTGTATAGCTATGCAAAAAATGTATAATTTGAACAAGCATCTAATATTATAAATTATAAAAAAGTCATCACGGCTATACAAAACATGAAGCATGATTGCGACGTGATCTATTTATTTATCTATGCATTTATTTATTTACACATCTTGCCCGAGTCACTTATCTGAGTTTTGCTGGAATCACAGTAGTGCAAAGTGAAACGGCATTAAAATTTGTTAAAATAAATTTCTCTTTGACTTTTCAGTCCAGGCCAGAGTTATATAAATTGTTGTCAAAAACTCAATCTTTGGTTATGATTTTTTTTTTAAACAATTTTGCTTTTTTTCCAAGATTGACGAAGCTGCTCATTTTGTTTTCCAAAAGGAATGTTCACGGTCATTAGTAGGATTTGTGTCCAGCTTTTCTACGTTCGGAATCGATTTGTGAAGACTGATGAAAAACAAACTCATGCAGAATCTTCTTGTGTTTGCATTGTGACCGTCTACTGAGACTAGGTACACCACATAAGTATTTATTACTGCAAAGCTATCGGGCCGTTAACCCGGGCTTTCATCAGTGCAATAACCTGGTTACACATTTACACTGTTTACACGTCACTTAAATATCACGTTAGTCATGGTTTGTTAGCTCGCGCCATTCACTTACCAAAATTAATAATTATGAAAAACAAATACTTCCAATAAATAGGTCTATAATATAGTTTTAATCTTTTTTAGCTCAATAGTACGTGGCGTGCTCTTTTCAATGCCTGCTAGCCAAATACTTGTCTAGGACACGCGCATTAATTAAAACTATGTCTTTTTCATATTCATTTGGTAATTGAAACCGCTTAATTAATGGCGCATGAGCTAACAAATCACGCTTAACGTGTTATTTTAGTCACGTGTAAATGTTAATTCAGGAATTTTTTCCGATGAAGGCCCGGGTTAACAGGCCGAAAGCTTTGCAGTATCAAATACTTATTAAATTACTTAAACTGAGAATCGTTCAAGATCTCGATATACGTATGAAGCTAGGGCATCGCGTCGGATTGAAGGGTACGGATTGGGAGAAATGTCTGGCGCCTATTCTCCAAAAGGGTAACTGGATGCAGGTGATTTCTCAGCAACACTTGTTGAACTGTTCGTTCCACTGGCCGTACTGCCAGTGGATGTACTCGGCGCTTCCGTCGTGATGGGGATTCGGATTGATATATTCTCAACTCAAATAAGACAATGTGCTTTCGCCATTTTATTTTAACAAGCAACAACAACCCTCGGCCACAGTGGCCCTAAGTACATACAATGAGAAATACGATGAGATCACATTTTAACACCCCCACTAGCTTGATCTCATTCATATTTTCTTAACTCAGATACATCAATGGTTAACATAACTTTAACGATAATCAATATTTTAAAAACATTTTAGGTACCAAATATAAAATCTTTGAATCTTTGCAACTTTGAACGTGTTGGTGATTTAGTCATTATATCAGCTATCATATTTGTAGTAGGACAGTAGTATACTACAACCTTGCCTGCGTTGATAGTCGAGCGGATAAAATGATAACGAATATCTATATGTTTTGACCTATTTCGATTAACTGGATCTTTCGATAAAGCTATCGTACCCTGATCATCTTCATAAATTTGAATTAAACAACAAATATTAACGAGTTTGTTTAATAACTGGATGAGGTAAAGAGCTTCCTGAACGGTTGCTGCTAGAGCAATATACTCTGCCTCACAAGAGGAGAGCGCCACAGTCGGTTGTTTCTTTGATGTTCATGAGATCAATGGCCTGGTTTCAGTTAAACTGAAATAGTACCCACTGATACTTCGTCTATCATGGGTCGAAGAAGCCCAGTCAGCATCGCTATAACCAACTAACAGCAAATCATCATCACACTTTCTATAACACAATTCATAATCAAAAGCTACTACGCAACAATTTATAAGTGACCTCGCTAATTTTGTTAGCTTTCTTAAAGAGTGATAGGCGTTTGTTCAATTCTCTTTCAGTCTTACAAGTTGGGTCAGACTTAAGGACACTATAGGTGTTTTTGTCATTGAGCAATGCACGCGCTTTCTCGCGATAGTTTTCCTTAGTCTGTCCATTACAAGAACACAATCGCCTTTATCTGCTGAGAACACAACACTGTCCGGATCTTTCTTCAAAGATGAACACTTTACTGTAAATATTTTTTGGAGAGCCTTAGCACGTGTGAGGATGCTACTGACTTCAGCTCTTACCGTTAGCTTAGTTTCGTCGTTGAGGTGAAAAATTCCTTCTTCAACCGAAGCGACAATTTCAGCTATTGGAATTCGCCTTGGTGAAATAGCAAACTTAAGACAATGCTCTAGTCCTTTTCTTTCAATCTCCGTTAGCTCCTTAGTAGAGAGGTTTATTACCCATCTCTGTATAGAATGGTAACAACCATCTATACGTAATCTCAGGAAGGAAAAACCTTTCAGACACTGGGACATATTTTCGCGAAACCCAAGGATCGCGTAGCGACTAAACTGAAAACTGATGCTGTATACTCTATAACATGTGGTGATTGCGAGAAAGAATATCTAGGTGAAACAAAACGTCAGTTCGGCATCGTTTAAACGAACATCAAAAGGCCGTTTCGAACTT